GTATTTAGCAAATCGTGCAATTATTCTGCTTCCTTTTGCCTTGGTATTTAGCCTATGTGCTCGCTCTATTTCAATCTCATCCTGTATTTTCAAATCATTTCTAATGCATTCCAACACCATTTTTTCCGTTTCTTCCCATTTCTCGTTGTCTTTCTGTGGTATGCCTTTAAATATCAAGTTATTTCTTCTTGATTGGTTCTCCAGTTTCTCCATGCTTGCTTTCAATGACTCTATCTCTTCAATGTTTGCTTGTCTATGGTCGTCTATTTGCTCTTCTAACTCTGCCAATTTATTTTCTATCTTATCTAAACGAGGATTTATTTCCGAGCCTAGCTTGTCGATTCGTTCAAGAATTTTCCTGATATCACCCTGCGTTGCTGGCTTTGTAATGTCAGCGTTAAGCTGGAGTTGCTTCATTGTTGCTCCACGTGTCGCCATACTATTCAAATTATCGCTAAACGGAGAGCTCAGTGCAAACACGTCCGTTCACCACGGCGTCACAGCCAAAATTGTCAAATTGTTTGTAGTCAAATTTAATTAAATGAAAGTAAAGTTTGGTATGAATTATAATAAATGAAATAGTATTATAAATATATTTCTCCATATACAATTTTGATTCAGTTTTTTCTTTAGAAATTATAACAACAAATATGTTATGATCGATTTAACAATTCATATGTTTGAAAACTAATGGATTAAATGATTATTTACATTAGAAATGGTTAACAAATAAATAAGTTATGCCTGTCAAATGATAAGTTAGATAAAAAATAAATACTTAAGTTGGAAAGATACAAGCTTAAATCAATCTGTTAGAAACTTTAATAATAAGCGATAAAAGATGATTCTTAATAAATTATTGGGTGATTAAAACTATTAATATTATTGTCAGTTTGAATTTGATTTGTTTGTCAAATTCTCAAGAATTTTCAAAAAAGAGCCCCAAAGGTACAAGATTAAATCAATCTGTTAGAAACTTTAAAAATAAGCGATAAAAGATGATTCTTAATGAATTATTGGGTGACTAAAAACTATTGATATTATTGCCAGTTTGATTATTGCCAGTTTTGATTTGTTTTGTCAAATTCTTAATAATTTTTGAAAAAGAGCCCCAAAATACCAAAACAGCTAATTACTGTAGTTGCTTTTTTGTTTATACCAATAATTAAGTATGTCTTTGTCAATTTCCCTTTTATGCAGGCTTTATCAACCATGTCGCCATATAGGCCTTCTGAGCCTACTAACACCTCGAAAAGATCACTTTTAAAATGCTACCAAGCAAATATATGCATAAAAGAAAGCTTAGGTAACAATAACAATATTAGGTAACAATAACTTTATTTGAAAAGCTACGCCTTTCTATCGGCGGCACAAGTCACGCGTAGCAATTGACGGTGCGTTCTTAAAGAAAACATTTAAAACAGTAGTGTAGACAGAAACACAGCAATGTACAATACAGTGAATCAAGATGAACGATAAAATTTTTAAAAAGTACTCATTAGTCAAACACCATTTCTTTTTACAGTAAAAAAAAAGTAAGTGACATTTTCGTTAATATAAACGAATGTTCGTCAAAAATTAGGTTTTACAATGCATAATATCTTTTCTCTGTTACTATGCTATTTTTAAATACGAGATAGAAAGATCTTTCATAAATTTACTAGAGTTTCCAAGAAGTATATCCATTTTAGTGTTACAATCTCCACTCATGAATAAGTTCCATAAATACTAATCAGAATTTGATGTGATTTTCTTTTCCACAGCGATATATTCATCAGATCTTATTTTGTTAAGTTCTATAAATATTTGGGTATTATTATTATTATTATTAACAATATTTGTTATATTATCTTAAAGCTTTCAAAATGGGACGAAAAAGTAAGAAGAGGCAAATGAAGGATGCCGATGGATTGACCAAAAGTGAAAGAAAAGAAATTCAAGCACTATGCTCCCAGCTTTTGGATTGTAAGCTTATTAATAAAATGTCATTTACAGATGTTAATGGTATCAATTAGTGATCAAGAAAAATGGTTGTTTTCACTTTTTTTATGTAATTCACAGTGGTAATAGTCTGGATTAAATCCTTTGAAACTGCCCAAAGATTTAGTCTGGATTAAGTCCTTTGAAACTGCCCAAAGATTTTCCATGTGCAATTTTAACTGCAGAAATTTTTAACAAACAGCATATAACTAGTAGTAATGTTATTATTATATTAAAATTAAAATGGTATAAAAAAAATATAGTCTTGCCACAAGTCCCTTGCGCCACCAAGGAGGGAATAAAGTTAAGTTACAATATCTTTGGTTGAGTATTTAGAATTCGAAAAAACAAATTGAGTATGGGATGCCAATTAAATTAGGTATGGTGCACACTAATCGCAATAAAGAGTAAGTAACCCAAAATTAGTGCCTGGAACCCAGACTAACTAGTTTCACAGTTTGTATATTACAGAAGTGACATATAATAAATTACCAAGGGTGTATATTGTGTGAATTTTAATGTAGATCATTTATTAAATCAGCACATTCCAGTTTTTTCACATACACATACTATGCTCTTGCATTTTATTTCAGTATGTAAAACACCAACCCAAGTGAGTACACAGAAGCAATGGGAGGAATACAAACAGATACGTGGTGTTGTGGAGATGATACGAACAAAACAACAAGGTAATGTTGACAAACGTTCCAAGTTTCCTGATTGGATTGCGAGTTTACAGAATTTTCATAGTCTCCTGATTGCCAGAATTTTGTTGAATTTAGTCAGATCCGCAATTTTGTCAGACATTCTAGAATTTTCAAAAAAATGTTTGGGGTAAGGGTGCTTTCACTAGCCCATGTCCCATATCCTGAATTTCGAGCTCCAGTGATTAGATACAGTAGTCTGGGTTGATGAAAGGCATGGAGCATGGAGAAAATATATCACTATTATTAACATATTTTATCAATGGTTAGAGCTAGCTTGCCATTCAGAATGTAGGTGAGAATTATATTTTTAGGACCTGTGGTGTGGAGTCGGGCAGACAGAGTTTATTTTTGTTTTTTATTCTTAATTGAAATTTCTCATTCAGTTTCAATAGCAGACAGTCCACCACTTACAGTATGAAAAAGAACAAAATTTACTACTGTAAATATAAGAAACAATTTTCAAATAGAACACATGCTATCAACAATAACTATTAAAATTGAATGGTCTTTTTTCAACACAAAAATGGGAGTTGACTGATATGAGACATAAAACCATTTCAAATTTTATCAGCATTTAATTGTTGCTATAAATAATACTAATTATTGGGTTGTGGTGATAATTTTGTCTGCTCTTTTCTGTTTCTATGTGTTTCCTAGATTAGGATTTGTTTGGGGTGTATTGCTTTTTATTTATTTTAATAACAACTCTCTAATATATGTTTATTGTGCACTATATCTAGCATTTATACATTGGACAAAAACAAATTTTGTTGACCAAGCCTGTTGGAAAAGTTGAATATCTTGGGTTGTTTTTTTACCAAAATATTGTTGTTTTTTTTCCAAGGAGGAGCCCAAAATTTCTACATGACATTCAACAGACCACATTTGAAGCTTTACATAATAAAAATGTCATTACCATTTTGTCAACAAAAGTGTATTGGGTTACATAAGTGATGATTTGCAATGAGCCAAGAATTTGGGCTACTGTAGGTTTTTAGTATCAAAAAGAGTTATGCCTGATAGACCCTTCAAACATCACTGTGCCTGGCCTAGATAAAATTAAAAAAAAAAAAACACCAAACCTTTCTTTCAGGCCTTCATAAGTTGTTTCTTGATGAAAACCGTGATGACAATCTTGAAAATCTCTTAACATGGGTCAAAGATAATGGAGCGATGTGCAATAATATTCAGATTGCGAACTACGATACTGAAGGCTATGGAATCCAGGCTACGACAGAAATCAAGGTACATATAAATAATACATATAAATAATGAATGTTTATCAGTGCAATGGGAAGAAAATTTTCATTCGTTGAAAGATTGCGAGGCGGAGCTAAGTTAAATGGAATAGTCTATCTTTCAATGAATGCCATGCCCCTTTGCACGAATACGAAACATTCATTAACATAAAATAGATCCTTGTCATTTGATATTTTATGAAAATAGAGTTAAGACTACCTTCATTCCAACCAGTAGAATTTTCACCACAAAGAACTTGCAACAATTTGGTGATTAAAAAACAGTCAACTATTAAGCAGTTCAGTTCCAATTGTGCAGCAATAATTGATTTGATTTTGTGAAAATAAAAGTTAGGTCTACCGTTCTTTAGAATGGAACAGTCCTCTTTTTTCCACCAATGAAAACATTATATTTTAGGTGGAGGTGTGCAAAATTTAACAAAATGAGTGGGGAAAAAAAATGCATGGATGCAACTAAATTTTCATGATGAGTAATGAAATGGTAATGTCACATGATACAATATCCACCAATCAAATGACTGGGATGTATTTAGATATGATATAAAGAGTAATAATGTACAGCTAGTGCAATGAAAATGAAAATGACATATAAAACAAAGTAAAGTGAATGGACTGGGTTCCTCCCTCGGAATGTTTTGGTTTTCGAGATGCTTGTCTTTCCTTCATTATGAGATGTCTATTAATGAATGAATCAAATTGATTGTTTCCCTACTATAGTATGGAAAATTAATAATGATGATGATAAAGATGACAGGGAAGAGGTGGTAGGGGAGGGGAGTAGAGGAGAAGGAAAATGTAATAACAGGCGGCAGTACAGTCGTAATAGGATTATTACAAGCAATGCAAACTTATGGCTGGGGCCAGGAGACTACCAAAGTCCCTCCTGTTATGGTGTAAGGAGAAGGGCCTGAAAAATTTCCAGCAGTTCTGAGGTACTGGAAGACTAATTTGAATTATTTTTTGTAACCAAGTTCTCTAACCCTCTGGATACCGGATTCTTTTATAGTGCAAACCCTTAAATACCGGATTCTTTTGCAGTGTAACAAGGTTTTTTGCGTTTTTTGAGTATAAGTCGTTCTTGTGTATTTTTGGGATCTTTCTGTAAATTATACAGAAAAATGTTTCTAAAAACAAAGAAAGCTTATAGAATAAGCTTTCATTTGATGTATAATTTATATTTTTGGGAATTTTTTTTCATAATATAATATGATATAATATATACTGTATATAATATAATAGAAATGACAGAAAAATGCTACATATAAATCGTCAGCAAAAACCGAAAAAAAAATAAATTATAGCCAAAAAAAATAAAAACAAATATAAAACATTCCTATTCCACACAGTTATATAATTTATTTACCCAACCATCCATAACTATAAGCTCGATCTTTCCATTCAAAAGCGTCGACTACCCTCACATTTCTAGGCCTAGGCTCATCTCCATCAAGAACATCTCCGCCGTCAGAACTGCTTGAAGCCCCACCGTCATCATCGCTAACAGGCACGTCTAAGTCTCGCACATCTAAAAATTCACCTTCATCGCTGTCTGAATCAAAA